AATAAAATTTAAAAATCAGGTAACCTTTTTTTTTCAGTGGCCCTAATCCTCTTTCAGCCCAAAGCTGCAGGAGACCAGAAGAAAAACAGAAAGCAGAAAAAGTCCAAAGAGAAACCATGGAAACCCTGCAGAGGATGACGATGATGGAGGTCTGGATTAAAACCTGTGCAGTGACCTCAGTCTGAACGACGATCAGTCAGAGGATCAGATGTTTCCTGGTTTTCATCAAACTAAATCTGCAGGTTTTCTTTCTTTCTTTCTTCTAAACAGAATCGCAGCAGAAACATAACTCCAACTTTCTTCTGTTTCTTTCTTCTTGTTGGTTCCCATTAAGTTTTAATCCCTGTAGAAAAGAAACACCTGATCACTGACCTGTGGATTAGAGGAGTCCGGTTCAATCCGGTTTGAGGTGTTCAGAATGTGGAGGTCTGGATTCTGGTCCTCAACCTTTATGTTCTCTGTTTCAGCCTCAATCTTCATCCTACTATCATCCTCCTCAGTCTTTATGTGCTGCATGTTCTCCTCTTCCTTAATCTTCATCTCGTGGTTCTCCTCCTCTTCCTCAACCTTAATCTCGTGGTTCTCCTCCTTCACCTCAATCTTTACTTCCTGGTTCTCCTTCATGCTTGTCCTGGATTATAATCTCCAGCTCCTCTTTGGTTCCTCAGCTGAAGCTCTTCTTCAGATCAGCTTCCTGTTAGAAACAGCAGATGATCAGACTGAAGGTTCCTCTGTCAGTGAATGAGAGCAGAACATCCTCCATCCATCAGGGATTTAATCTCCACCGTAATAATCTGGCTCTGTGTGAATACAGCGTCTCTCCAGCAGGAGGCGTCTGATTAAGATGCTTCTGATCATGATCTGAGATATTTAGCTTTAGATCCTGCTCTAATCTCACCTGCGTCCTTTCAGGTCTGCATCCATGGAGCCTCATCAGCTTAGAATAACAGTCATTATTCTAAAGCAGAGGAAACCATTAACAGCCTGAGGAAGCTTTAAACATCACAGGACTTTAATCTGAGCTTATAATCCTCACTAGAGTTTAACTTCCCTCTCAGAGGAGGTTCAGCTGCTGCAGGATCAGTGAAACCCAAACATCGCCCCCTACAGGCCGCAGATCCTAAAAACAAAGAGGTAAACATGAGGAGCCCTGCCTGTCTGAACCCTACAGTCTGTTCATCTCAGCTGCGATTAAATGACCAGACGGCTTTCCATACCCACCTCCCGTTTGTACATCCCAGATGTAATCCGGGCCCCGCCCCTTCTAATGACATCATTATATGGCAATGCCACTCAGACAAACTGAATTGCACCTGTTTCTTTAGGACCAAATCTATTTTGGATATTATATTATTCCCTATATTTGCTATTATTCTATATTTCATTTATGATCTAAAGTAGCTGAAAGTAGAAAAACAATCATTGTCAGTCTGGAAGGAAAGTCCTGCCTTCTAAGACTGAATAGCAGATTATTTTTATTCTTTTTATTACAATTTGAGGGCAGGAAGGAAAAATGGAACATCTTAAAAAAAGACTTTCGTAGAGATTTTAGACAAATAAAACGGTTATTCTACTGGTAGAAAACGAACGTTTGTTGATACGAATTCATAAGTAGTGTAGCTTAATATGGCTAACTGAGCGAGCTAAGAGAGGCTAACCTGTTTGTCACTACCCGATCCGTCCTGCGTGAACAGATATACTACCGGGTTTCCACAAATAATGTTATTATAGTACCAGAACTACTTATTTCTATCCATAACTCAGTAAAGAATGCTAATAGACATCTTGAAAAAAAGTTTTAGGACTTTTGTGAGACATTTATGCTTTTTAAATTTTCTTTGTTAACTATTCCGTAAAAATTCAAAAAATATCCACTGGACTTGGTTTTCAAGATTTGAAGACGTTTCTCCTCCTCTCCAGGAAGCTTTCTCAACTCAAATGTCTGGATCCGCAGTGAGTTTGAGTCTTATATAGTCTTGAAAACCAAGTCCAGTGGATATTTTTTGAATTTTTACGGAATGACTATGACCTGGAAGACTGAGAACCTTCATCAGCATCTTCGTTAACTACTTCTCTGACGTCATCATGGGACACCCTCAGAGCAGTCCAGCGAAATCTGATTAAACCATTTTTATCTGCATTTTAGTTGTTTCTTTCTTTAGATTACACACTATATAGCATAAGTTTAACACGAAAGGGAATAATAAAACTCAAAAAGACGAGATTTATGTTTAAATCAAAAGCCAAAAACGTTAGCCACCGGACGTAGCGCAGGATCTTATTTCAGGATCAGAGTGAAAAAACAGAAAGGATTTCAACGCATTTATTTTCTCAGGAAATCGATTATTAACGTTTAACACGAAATAGTTTAGGACATTTACTGTTTTTGGGGAGGGAAAAAAAGTTATTCAGTTCTTTTTAACTAAATAAACCCGGAAGTATATCTGGATGGGTAAATAAACGGATGGCGCTTCTGGAACGGATTAGGTAGCGACCCTGTTAGCTCCTGAGCTCAGCTAGCCACAGCGCTACCCAGCTCTTTAAATCACAGCCTATTAGTTCCTTTGATCAACAGAA